GCAACGCGGCCGTTCCTTGGTGCTCAGATCTTGCAGGGATCCCCATAGCACTTGCGTAATCCATACTCACTGCATCACTACACTCAGCCCTCTAAAACTTAAGGCATATTCCGATTCCCGAAACCTTAACAATTCGCCCGCTTTTGACTTGAGGAATATTCCGTAACTCGCGGCCCTGTCTAATGAGAAGACGGGTTTTGGGATGCCTTACAGTGTCACTATACAGTATACAGGTTCTCTAGGGGGGGTGCTGGTACTAATTTGTCCGACCCCTGCATTATATAAACCCCATAGTGGCCATGGCCCAGCCCATGCTATAAGGGTTACAATAAAGGGATCTATAAAGGGCTACTAGAATGGTGCTATGTGGGATACTTCGGGTTTAGGGTTCTGGGGTTTAGCGTCTCTTGCCACTGCTGCGAGCTTTGGAACCCTCCGATCAAAGCCCCCCGCTTCAGTTCGCTCTCCCGGCGTCGGCGGAACCTCAGAAGTGGAAAATTTAGAGTTCCGGGCGTCGGGCTTTGATGCACAGGTTTAACGATTAAGAAATTAAGAGCAAGACTATGGTCTTGGTTTAACAGCATCACGACGAGGTTAAGCTTGTGATAATGAAAACCAGGCGATTAGCGATGACATCTCGAACTACAAGATATCACTCATACCTGCCTCTTTCATGAGAGCGCTTTGTTGATACAGCGGTTGGAGGCATGAACACTTACCATAATCGTCCATCTCCGCAAGGCTCGTGCAATGTCACGATTTATGAAAGGTACACATACACAGCAACACGGAAAACGACAGTAACGTAAGAAACTGCCTCACGGATTAAAGGCGATGAATGCTTGGATTCACTTTGCACCGAAGGCGCGTGGACCATGATGTTCCAAACTTCTCGCGTCTACTTTAGACTCAGGAGTTCCTAGGCTGAGGGTTTTGCCTCATGTTGTCTTCTGAGTTGGGACGCCCGTGTAGAACCATATAACCCTGATCCAATTAACCCACAAAATCCCCGAACAAGACTTGAAACTCCAAAGTACTAAACAGCCCAAAGCCCGTCACCGAAACTTCAAACCCGAGTATCAATCCTAGATATTAAGATGTGTATACTGTGCATATGCCTACACATATACCTACATACATACATACATACATACATACATATAAAAATTGTATATATATATATATATACATGAAAATATACACGGTTTCGTACAGTTTATGCATCTACTATGTGTTGTGCACTTTCTGTGTGTGTGTGCGCGTGGATGCATATGTATAATATATAAATATATGTATGTATGTGCGTACGCATGTAAGTATATATGTACGTATGTACCGATGTATACATATGTATATATAGAGACACACACACAAGCATATATATATATGTATATATACATGTTGATTCATTTGTTTATATTCATGTATGTATGTACGTATGTATGTATGTAGGTAAGCATACTATATGTATATACACATATTCACATGTGCACATATATATATATATATACATACATACATACATACATACATACATGGATAGATGTATGTATTTTTACTATGCACATACATACATACATACATACATACATACATGGGTGGAAATTCTGTATTCCCCTTGTTTTGCTTCCCTTTTTCTTGTGCGGATCTGCCCTGCTTGTAGGTTTTCAAGGGTTTTCAAGCGTTTTAAAAGGGTTGTAAACGGGTTTTCGAAGGGGTTCAAGAGGCTTTCTGATGGTTTGAAAGAGTGGCTTTTAAGGATCACGCCCCCCCTGTTTGCAAACATACTTACTGCTCGCATCGTGAATGACGGGGTTTCAAAAAGACTCTTATTGTGCATGGTGGGCTTCAGAGGCTGTTGAGCAAGCTTGCACACGGCTCAAAACAGCAGGGGGGTTGGGGGGACCATTTGCAAACACAATGCTCGCATGGTTGGCTTCAAAAAAGGAACTCATATGCTGTCACAAGCAAGCTTGCACAAGCGGGGGGCTGGTGGGGCGCAGTCCCCCCTTGTTTGCAAACATACTGCTCGCATTGTGAACGGGGGGGGGGGTTTCAAAAGACTCATATTGCGCATGGCGAGTTTCAATAACGACCCGGAGGCTGTCAAGCAAGCTTGCACACGACTTAAAACAGCGGGGGGTTGGGGGGCAGCCCCCCCCCCATTTGCAAACACCAATGCTCGCATGGTTGGTTTCAAAAACACTCACTTGCACAAAGAGCGCAGCAGTCCCCCGCCATTTGCAAACACACCGCCCACTTGGTGAATGGCGGGGTTTCAAAAAAGACTCAGATTCGCTCAAGACAGCATTATCTCACTTCCACCGTCCTCACCGCGGTCATCGTCATCCTCATCTTCACGTACATCTTCATCGCCATCATCAGCATGTGTATGCAAGCATGCATGAATGCATGTATGTATNNGTGATCTAAACGTCTTCCAACTGATGCCCTAGGCCCCAACGTGTCTGTATCCAAACTAATGAGCAGTTTATATGGGATGGTTGAGGACACCAGAGTCAGGAAGGAGCCCCGGGTCGTGGTAGCGCATGGTGAGTGGCGGGGCTTCAAAAAAAGACATACATACATACATACATACATACATACATACATAATTACACACATTACGTCTATACATACATACATTATATATATATATACAGATATATATATATATACATACATGCATATACACATGTATGCATATATGAACCTATATGAACATATGTGAGCATCTACGAACATATATAACCACATATGAACATATATGAACACGTATGAACAGATATGAACAGATATGAACATATGTGAACATATATGAGCATATATGAACATGAAACATGTATACTTTTTACAGACGTGTACACATACATATATACTACATGTATGTATGCACACCTACATACTCAATACATATCAATGTATACCCGGCACTATACCTACAAATGCATCTATCTCTCGTTCGTGCAACCTACTGGGAGTTCCAGAAAATTGGTAGACCAACAACCGACACTAGACCCCAAATGATAAGACCCCCCGTTCAAGCACGGGATCCCTTTTTCTACTTTTCTAAACCGCCCCTAAACCCTACACCCCAGTAGACCTTAGCCACTAGACCCTAGACTCTAAGCCCGAATACCTGATGTCGGGTTCCTCTTTTCGACTCAAGGAGCACTTTCTCATCGCCATCCTTCGACATGCCCAAGGGGTCGAAGTAGCCCACCGGAGCCTGCGACCGACTGTGGGTTCTTGAGGGCTTACATAGGTCTTAAGATTTAGGGTTTGGGGTTTAGGATTGAGGGTTCAGGAGTTCAGATTTTGGGTCCGGGTTCAGGGCTTGGGGTTGAGGGCTTAGGATTGCCCTTCGATCGACACTCTGCGGAATAGGCGCGACTTCTTGAACTCTGGCCCGGAAGGGCCTGTCCGGTGGTTTAGAGCGGCTGATAGACTCTACAAAAGTCAAGATGCCTTAAATCTGAGGACCGCCCCATAGTAATGTCATCAACAAACTGACTACATGCTGCCCAAAACTTCCGAGCAGGAATCTGAGGCTACAGCCACTAAGTTCGAAACAACCTGCCCACAAACCCTCTGTACAGGGGCCTTTGCTTCGCTCGCCCTATCAGGGTCTTGGTATCTAAGGGTCCCTCATGTGAAGGCTACGGGAGTTCTGATCCGAATCACATATTAAACCCTAAACCCAAAGCCCTAAGCCCTACCCCCACAAGTCTGACCAAGAAGCTGGGGGCTTAAGGCGTAAGTGTCAATGACAGAACCGGCGCTCAAGACTTAGGTTAAAAGGCCGCTCAACGTAGGGGCCTGAATAATTGGAGTAAAGTTTTGTAGTACGAACATATATTTACAGAACCCCACATCAATAGGATTGGTACCTACCCAGGCTTCCATATTAGTGTAGCAGTTTCGGGGGTGTTCGGGCTGTAAACTGGTGAGCATGCTCTTTTAGGGGTTTTGGGGGTTCAGGGGTCGATATCATCCTCACCATCCTCCGGGTCGCAGAACTCGTCCAGTAGGTGTTGGGGTACAATCCCATAGAAGTACACTGGAAACATACTGTTGATGATATAGATCCTGCGTTACCCATAATAAGGAATACATACCTTAAGGTAATGCAGGATTTATATCATCAACCATGCCCCCAAGCCCTGCAGGTTACTGAGGTCCCCATGGCGATAAAGGGTGAGACCTTTGGACTTGGCAGCGTAACAAATGGCGTTTTTGGGTGAAGTTGCTTCAGCCGCTATGCGAGCCCAGTCCTTCTCTGTTTCTGCGGTATAGGGTTTAGGGTTTAGGGTTTAGGGTCTAGGGTTTAGGGTTTAGGGTTTTGGGTTTAGGGAAGTTTGAGGGCTTGGGACTTCAGGAAGGTTCGCAAAAGTAGATCCCCCCAACACACTACGGGAACCCGAATCAACAACCGGCGTGCTCGCTACCTATAAAGGCTTTCCAAATAAGAGAACGATGCTTCAGGCTCCAGGGCGATGCGGTTGATAGAATATAAATCCTGCACTACCTCACGGACGTTAAACTATGGGAATTATGGTATATTCCTGATTATGGGTAATGCAGGATTTATATCATCAACAGCGGGGCCCCAAACGCCAAACCCTTAACCCTCGTAGTTTGGGTCTTCGGGGGGGATTGAGGGATGCAAGGCTCCAAACCTGCACTTCGAGGGCCATAAGCACAGGTGCCCGCTGGGGTCCGTGTTGAGGATGTGCGGCATCTAGATTGCAGTTGCCAGTGTTGGAAGGACAGGAAGATTTGTAGCGGTGGTTTTCCTGCCGGAGGGATGAATACTCAATAGGAGCTTGATTTGAGCACACGGGGGCCTATTATTGCATTGATGGCCATGACATCACACACATGCCGCTTTCTTGCATGAGGATCATTGATAGGGCGAGGCACGGCTGTCTCAGCTAGCCGCCCGAAGCAAGGGCTCAATTGATCCATGGCCTTCTTCGGAGGCCAACGTCAAGGCCGTCTTACCGTTCTTGTTCGTCAAATTCGTATTGGCACGTCGGCTTTAAAAGCAGCCGTACGACGTTCCTCTCGCCCTGTTGGGAGGCTTCCATAAGGGCGGTGGTGCCCTCATTGTCGGCCCAGTCCATGGTGCTGGAATCCATAAGTCGGGTATGGCCCTCCTTGTCAGCCCAGTCTATTCTGCTGCCATTGTCTAAGAGAGCCTCCACGATCTCGAGGTGGCCCTCGAAAGCCTTGGTTCTGGCTAAGGAGCTTAACTTAAGCTCCCGCAGTACGTTTTGCGGCAGTAGCATACAGCTTCACGCAAATCCCGGTCATGGCAACCTTCAATGGCAGTTTCGGGACATAAGGGATCCTAACATGGACCCTAGATAGTAGCCTTGTAGAGGGATACCCCAAGGAAGAGGACCTCAGCCTGAAAAAAAAAACTTAAGGTCCTAGACAAGAGCCAAACTCTTCTTTGGGGATCGCTCCTGGAAGAATCCAGAAAAACAAAGACAAAAACTGACCAAGAGCCTTAGAGCTAAAGCAAGCCCCTTTAATACAAGCCAAGCCTAAGATCCCTTTGGTGAAAGTAATGTCTTTAGAAAGAGCCAAGTTTAAGAGCCCTATTGATAAATTGAAGCGCTTAGTAAGAACCGCCGTCAGATAAAGGTCCTTAATGAATGTGAACTATAATCCAATTACGGCCCCCCCTAAACCCTAAACCCTAAACCCCCTCAGTAAGACCCCTAAACCCCCTTAGTAACAGCCAAGTAGCTGCCATCATCAGCGCAGTGGATCCTGCCTCTGTAACTCGGTTTTGGTCCGCATCCGCGTGGAGAAGCAAATGCACCGTCCCAAGGTGACCATTCCTGGGTGGCTGTGGGGTTTTTTGGGGGCTAACCTGTAACCGAAAAGACCTACCATTTTAAGGAACTATATATAGAAACCATACTAAGGAACCCTGAAAAGGGTAGGTCTTTTCGGTTACAGGTAAGGCTCTTAGGACCCTAGGGCTGAAGGCATTTTGAGGCTCAGGGCTTTGGGGCTGCGGCTTCTCGGGCTCAGGGCTGAGAGGTTAAAGGCTTGAGTCGGCTTTGAGGCTTAGGCTTGACAGGGGCTTCAGAGTTTAGGGCGCTGCGTCCAAGGTTTGCCAAAGCCAACATGCTCATGGCATCTGTGGCTTGCATAGCTCCTAAACGGGTTTTGGGACTATATATGGCTGTATTATCCACCACAGTGGTCGTACATAAGTGCCCAAGACCGACCGGGATTCAGCGAAGCTTTCATCAAGCCTGTGGTGCCCCGCTTGGTAGCCGCATCCGGATTAGCACGGGCCTGGAGTAGCAAGCGCACCACATCCGCCTTCCCCTCGTGGGAGGCCAGGTACAGGGCCGTGCCACCGTCAGTGTCCACTACGTCCGGCTCTACCGAAGCCTCAAGCAGCAGCTTTATGACCTCGATGTGCCCTTGGAAAGCTGCGAGCATCAGCGGTGTGGCACCGGCGATATCCACCAAGTTTTTGTTGGCCCCGCTCTCCAGCAGCACACGTGCGGCTCCCACCTGACCATAGCGAGCTGCCAACATCAAGGAGCTTGTTCTGGTGTTGTCTGCGGCGTCCATGTCAAGGCCTTGCTCCAAGAGATAGCGCACCACGTCAGCACCCGCCTTCTGGGCTGCAAGATTCAAGCACGTCTCACCGCTCATCGATCCTTACTTGCTAGGTCTTGTTTGGGAGATATGGAGTTAAGCTCCGGGCGTCCACAAGAAAGAGAACATGCCCAAGAACTACCGGCGACATCAGCACCGAGCATCGATGGTGAAGTTGGGCACCATTTTCAACCAGGAAGCGCAAGACGTCCAGCCGGCCATGGTAAGCTGCTAGATTCAAAGCTGTGTTGCCGTTGACATCCTCAATTTGTTCCATGTTGGCACCTGCCTTGCACAGCGCCCGAACAGTTTCAAGGTGACCCAACCCAGATGCCATCATAAGAGGTCGAACGCCTTGATTGACTGGCACATCCGGGTCTGCACGGGCCTCCAGCAGCAGCCGAACAACTTGAGTATGCCCCTTCGTGGACGACTGGTACAAGGCAGTGTGGCCCCTCCCGTTTTTCACATCCGGATCATAGGGCGCCGAAAGCACAGATTCAACCTTGCAATGTTGAGACTCGGCCCAGGGGTGCCTAGAGTGTCTGATGATTCGGGTAAAATGATGACTCAACGATCATCTGCTTCAGACTAGACAGAGCAGCGGGGCAGCTGGCAGCTCGCTTTTTCGAGTTTATCTTACTTAGCATCTCGCCCGGAACTCACCGGAGAGGCCTCAACAGCTAGAGGTCCCACCTTCTCTGCATCTCCGTCCATGGCGGCTGTGACGAACTCCTCGCTTTGCTTGGTGTCCATGTCCGCGAAGGTGAGCAGCACCAGTTCGAGCTCTGTGGCAGCACACAGCTTGCAGGCATCCTCCAAAGCTGTTCCGTCTCCTAGCGCGTAGGGATCACAAGCCGTTCCGGACACATCACATCTACTCCAAGGTTCTTCCTCAAAGAGACCCCTTGTAGTAACCGTTGTAATGCTGCTCAAAGCACCTTGAAAGCTGGTAACCCTAAACCCTAAACCCTAGACCCAATCTAAGTGGAGGCCCAAAGGCCCAAAAAAGTATGAGGAGCATTCCCATGCCACTAAAATCCTAAACCCTAAACCCTAAACCCTAAACCCTAAACCCTAAACCCTAAACCCTATTGCAGGCTCTATGGTCCACTTAATCTGACGCCCGGATAATGCGACATCCGAAGCCAGAAACCCCAATGCCTAGACCCCAAACCGCCACAGTCTTAAGGATACGTCATGTTCACAGCAAGTCTGCAAAGGAGCCTCTGCCGGAAACGCGGTGGCAACCCATCGAGTCGACTGAGATGCTGCTTTAAGGCTCTCACGTCTGGCACCTCCTGGGTTTGATCTGTTTCGGCTTCAGAGTTCTGTTTCCCTAAACCCTAAACCCTAAACCCTAAACCCTAAACCCTAAACCCTAAACCCTAAACCCTAAGGGCTTGGGCTGAAGACTCAATGTCCCGGATCCAAGGGTGCAGAGTGGGGATGGGGGCCTTTAGGCTCCACACTTGACCAAGGCGCCTTCAAAAAAGGGTATAAGGGTTGAGGGTTTAGTTTAGGGCATTTTGGAGATGCGGGATATGTCTTTTGCAGCCTTGGTTTCGGGCTTTGCGGTGTAGGTTTTCGGAGCAGAAGAGCCGACTGTGGGGTTTTGGTTGAGGGTTCAAGGTTTAGGGTTTAGGGGTTTAGGGGTCTAGAGTTTAGGGTTTGGGGGTTTATGGGCTTAGGGTTCAGGGTTTAGGGTTTAGGGGTTTAGGGTTTTAGGAGTTTAGGGTTTAGGGGTTCGGTGTTCAGGGTTTAGGGGCCTTTTGGTTTAGGGTTTCGGAAACTGGGTAACTTCTCTTATATTCCGGCGGAGCTACATAATTCAAGACTCCCTAAACCCTCCACGCTTTAGGGGTGGGCTTCAAAGCAGGGCAAATCGAAGAAAGGCCACTGCACTCAACAAAACAAAACCCTCAACCCCATATTTGGGTAGTTCTCTAAATTGGGGTCCCCTTTTAAGTCACCCAACTAGTACGACACCCTCATAAAAAGGACCCCAAAAGGGACCCTAATTTGGAAAACTACCCATAATGATATGCATACTCTTTTGGCAGTAGTGGAACTCCTAAACCCTGAACCCCAAACTTGAAACCCCAAACCCAAAACCCTAAATCCTAAACCTTAAACCCCAAATCCTAAACCCTAAACCCCAAATCTTCAGCCCTAAACCCTATACCCAAAGCCCAAAACCCTAAATCCTAAACCCTAAACCCCAAATCCTAAACCCTAAACCACAATCCCCAACCCGGAACCCCCATGATTGTGGCCAGGCCTGTGAGTTCAACCTGCCAGGTTACAGCCAAAGCCTCGGAAACATCAGAGGGTGCTCTTGCGGCTTCAGGGGTTTAGGGCTTAGGGCTTAGGGTTTATGGGGTTTAGGGGTTTAGGGTTTAGGGGTTTAGGGTTCAGGGTTTTGGGGTTTAGGGTTTTGGGTTTAGGCTTCAGCAGCGCCCGATCGAGCAGTTTCTAGTCGAGCTCCACTCCGAAAGTCACCCCTCCCACCCAAGATTCCCAGATCACCAGGAAGCCATTATGCCTTTTATTTATTGCACCTAAAAACTGAAATCCTAAACCCTAAACCCTGAACCCCAAAACCCTGATCCTAAACCCTAAGCCCCAAAATCCGAGGCCCCGAACCTTCAGCCCGAAAGCACAAAGGAATATGATACAGCCCCTGACTAGCCCTAAACCCTGCAAGCGGATGATGGTTTAGGGTTTAGGGTTTGGGGTATGCTCGCGGGCGCTCGTGTAAGCAGCTGACGTCTGTTTCCTCGCACGCGACTGACAGTCACCCCTATACTTGGAGATTCATGGGTAGTTATAAGTTATAAGTGGGGTTATAAGTAGGGTAACTATAGTTATAACCCAAATTAGGGGATTTATAATTACCTGTAGTCTCCATTGTAGTTCCTTTTTTTGGTTTAACCAATTATATATTAAGGATCTTATAGGGTATTTATAAGGTATCCCCCAAAATGGAACTACAATGGAGACCATAGGTAACCCCACTTATAACTATCCATGAACCTCCAAGTAGTTCTCGACGAAAGGAGCGTAAAGAGATCCCCGGACTGCGCTATGTGGGGATTTCCGAAACTAGGGGGCCCTAAATATAGGACCTAAGGGTTTAGGGTTTAGGGGTTTTAGGGGTCTAGGGGTTTAGGGTTTAGGGTTTAGTACCCCTAAATAGTAGGATCCTTATTATAAGGACCCCCAAATAAGGTTACCCTAATTTTCGGAAACTCCCAGCTGGAAATGACTCCGAAGACATGAGCTTCGCACCTTTGGGCTCCTGAGTGTGGCGGCATTGTAAACCCTATGATACAGCCCCAGAGTAGCCCTTCAACCCTATGATACAACCCTTGGAAATATCCTTGTCGTTTTGGGCGACCCGGCCAGGCCGAACGCCACGCGCATCACGCGCGCGAGATGAAAAATCCCAATTTAACGAATGAGCTAAAGGTTGAAATGCATAAGCTAAAGTGTGTTTAGGATTTACGGTTTTCGTGAAAGACAAAATGAACCCTAAAAGGGTTTAAGTTCTTCCGCATTGGGGATTTAGGGTTTAGGGTTAGTTTAGGGTTCATAAACCATATAGGGAACCACCGTATTCGGGTATAGGGCCCCGAGTTTTCGCGGTCATTTGGTCCTCGAGGTTGGGGTTGACCAGGTTTCAGAGCCGAGGCTAAGATCTAGCGTTGAGGGTGGAGGATTTGGGGTTTAGGGGTGACGGTGGGGGATTTGGTGGGTTTGAGGGTTTGAGGTGTAGAGATCAGGGTTCCCTGAAAAGGGCCATTTTTTCAAGTGTTTGTGGTTTAGGGTTTGGGAATGGTGGGTCGTGGGTTCTCGGATTTAGGTCTTAGGGGTTCGCGGCTTCTAGAGTTTGGCCTTTTTGTGTGCTTTTTGGCTGTTGGTTGCACATTTCAGGTTTTCAAGTTTAGTTTCAACCAGCATTAGCATGGTGGTGCTTTGCTTTAGATGGGTTCAGAGCTCAGAATCTCATTATGGGGTTGCAGGGCTTTCCGATTCTGTCGAACTTGTTCAGCGCCTAGGCTGACCGAAGATTCCTGGTCGTTGAGGTACGAAAACGATCCGGAAGGCAATCCATGCCCCTGCCACCCCAGAACCCGAAGCCTTCTTATCAAAGGGTCGGTTCTAGCCAAAACCACCGGTTAACCAAGCAAGGACTTGGAATGGAGTGTAAAGTTAAACCTTATAAGAGGCTTGTGAGCGTTTTCAATTCCCGTGGGTTGGCAGAACCCAACCGGATCGAAGCACCTGTGTGGCAATGCCTACTTTGTACTGCACTTTTTGGTATGTTACGGTATTGTTGGTTATAAGCATGCAGCGTTTGGTTCGCAGCATGCTTTAGGTGTTTCAGGGTCAGGGTTGGTTTCAGCACAAGAACAAGGATGTGGGTAGCGATTCAGTAAGGGTGGTAGCACCTGTTGCACTAAAAGGATGATGACCAATAAGTAACGGGTTTTCAATTTTCCCAATAATTAAGGTGTGCGAACGTGAGTTAGGTTCCTTAACAAAAACCAAGAAAAGACACGACCTTACGAGAATACCAAAGGCCTCAATGCCGGAGTGCACAAGATCGCCATCCGTGACGAGAGCAGTGGCCACTTGCTTGGTATGCAGTTTGCAGGGTTTGTGGGCTGTGGGTTTGGGTTTGGGCATTGGTGCATCCATGGAGGTGGTATATTTATAGACAAGTTCTACAACCTGGTAGCCTTATGGTTCAAAACTATCCGAGCCGGGTCCGATGCCGAAAATCCCCAAAGTCCTAAACCCCAAAGACACAAGACTTAAACCCTGAACCCCTTTTCAACTTAAACCTGTGGCCCTCGCACTTAGCTCGTTTGTCTTGCCAACTTCGAGCTACCAGGCCGATCCAATGCTTACTGCTGCCCATGTGCTCCAATATAGTTCCTTCTTTGGGCCGTATACAACATAACTCTTTGCGGCATACAGCGATCCCCCCACCTTATAAAGGTGATACTCTCTGTAATCGGGTTTGCAATTTCTGGTTTCAGACCTGGGGGTCTTGGACCCCAAACCCTAGCCGCTCGGCCCTAGCCCTAAACTGTAAGTTTCGGATTAAGGACTTAAGGTCCAGGTCCACGATGGTCCTTGCCGTTTGTTGTGGCCGGGGGGGCGGTTCTTCCCGGAAGTAGCCTGCAGCTGCAGCCAAGAACGATGTATTGACAGCCTGTCTGTCCGACGGTACTAGAAGTAGAGTAATCGCAGCAGGACGCAGCTCCTGAGAGTGTGTAAGCATGTGTAGCCCTGATTCCTAAATCCCAAAGCGTTGCAATCGTATGAGAGCATCGAATCTCAAAACCTACTCGAAGGAAGTTGCGGCGACTGTCCCTCTGGCATGTTTTGGATTGGAGCTGGTATGATTATATTCGGGGTTTAGGGTTCACGCTCTAGTCTACAGCGATGGGATGTGAGGGGTTGACTGGTTCTGCTACTTGAAGTTCGACTGTCGGAAACGTGTGTCGACCCGCAGCCCCGCACCATGCTAGGCTCAAGTGGTTAATGTAGGGATCTAGGTGAGGCCGAGGGCCCAGATTCGGCCTCAGATCGGCGGAAGATCCCCGACCACATCCATGTGGTTTCGGGATGTTTCGGGTTTAGGAGGGTTTAGGGTTTAGGGTTTAGCAGAGTTTAGGGTTTAGCAGGGTTTGGGGTTTAGGGTTTAATATGCTTTAAGGTTTGGGGCTGAGGGTTGAGTGAGGCGGACACATTTTTGCGGTGCCTACTGGGCATTTGCAAGCCTATAGACGGTTTAGTTTCGGCAAACTTCCGCTCATCCTCT